GACAAATGGTACGAACACGAACCAGAGACCGTGACACACAATAAAGATAACAACATCACCATCATGTGGGACATGCCAGTCAATACTGATAGAACTATAACAGCGAACAGACCAGATATCATCGTTAAAGATTCAGTGAATTCCACCTGCAAACTTATTGATATGACTGTTCCATCAGATAGAAACATCGCACTGAAGGAAACTGAAAAAAATGCAAGAACAAAGACCTAGAACTAGAAATACAGAGAATGTGGCATATGAAAACCGTAGTGATCCCTGTGGTTGTTGGTGCGCTTGGTACAGTGAAGAAGGGTATGGTAGAAAACATCAACAAAGTATCGGAGAGAGCTACTATGACAGAGATTCAAAAGATCTACATGCTGGGATCTGCACCAATCCTTAGAAAGGTGCTCAGTGTATGAACAGAATGATTGACTTGAGTGACTGACGCTCTAGGTGCATGGTCTACGCCCGGCTGATGCACAAAATGAACACCAGCAAAGACTGTGATAATAGAGACAATAATAATAATAATAATAATAATAATAATAATAGTAGTCATAGTCGCTACTGGGTGGCACGACCAATCAGAATCGAGTATTTCAAACACGTGACTGAATTAATTATCTCTCGACCAATCAGCGTCCAGGATTTTATGGGGTTAGTACTACATGTAAAACCATCACGAAAAGTCTCCCAACATTCCCCCGTCAGGTAAGACACACGAAAAGTCACGTTTCAACCAATTTTATTCTGACGTCCTACCTACCTTTACAATCGGGAGGTGTGTGACGCCCTAGTGACGCCACGCCCTTGTGTTAAAACAGATACGTAAAATTAATAAAATTAACATAGATTGGTGCTCTGTATAGTTCATTACATTGTTGTATAAATTTACGTTTAGTTTTCCAATTGCTCCATCCATCTCTTTTGGAACACCAACAAAATTTGACCAGAGACGGGGAATACTCGTGACATTGCTGAATCTTAATGGTGAATGACAGTTATATATAAAAAAAATAGAAATTGACTTAATGTTCAAAGACATTTCTTTGATCGAGTTCGGTGTTTTATATCCTTTACTTGTTGTCGCACGTCAGCAACAAAGTTTAACCCCCATTTTAGTGGAACAAGAAATCTGTAAAACAAATTGCAATTTTTATGAAAAAGTCCAAAAAAGAAATGGACATTAATGCTGGCGAATAATGATTGTTCTCTACATCGTCTAACAAAAACACATGTCTCCAACCCCTTTTGAAACACCAACATTTTGACCAAAGATGGACAATAGTCGTGACATGTATGAACTTTTTGAAATGCAATCCGTTGTAGCTGTAGTTTGTTGGAAAACGGACCACCATAAGAGAATTATTTCTCAGCCATAGTTGTCTTTGGACAAACACGCGGCGGGTTGATTATGCAAAAATCTTCAACTTAAGACCAGGTATCGTGTAAAAAAAATGCAATTAAGAACAAACCGTTTAGCCTTTGTCTTTTTTAAAAAATAAGCGATTAGGACATTGAGTTCCCACTTCGAAAAAAGTCAAGGAGTGTTGTTTCACAATCATCTAGAACATGTTGTATTTACTCTCACCAATATCCTTTGAAACATTGTCCAGCGTCAAAGGATAGCCAGTTTTATTGGACATGTATTCTAACTGACTTATGCGGCTTTGGTTGACAAACTCATCCAACAAGAAAAGCTGAATCACTGCGACGGTTGTGCTGTTCAACACCCAAGACAAAACCAGCATTCTTGCCTCATGATGGATAATGATGACGCATGGAGGTATTACCAAGATGAAGTGGTGGAACAAATTGACCTGAATTCTATGCTGAACGCTACCGAAAGTATATGCAGTGCTGTCGGCTTCAAACTACGTAAATCATGGGAAGCGTACTGCCAAATATTGTCGTGGACCAGTATTTACCTCGCTTCTCTGGAACGTGATGTTGTTTAGCAGGGTGATGATCTTCAAAGCCGTATTTTATACGCTCTATACTACGCACCAAATGGGCTCAAATGGAAATATTTCAGTGATCAACAAGAAACAATAGAATGCCCTGATAGAGTCGTGAGAAAAGAAGAACACCAATGGACCTTGACTTGATAATTAATGACATTCAACATAAGCTTTGTTTCTAAAAGTAATAAAATTTCTTCATGATGACTAAAATTTTGAGTCGGTGTGTGCTTGTCTCTGTCTTTGTCAAGATGGGGCTTTCTATCGGATTGTATATAAAGAGTTTTCCTTTATGTCTAAAAAAATGTCATTTGTTCATAGTTTGTAAATAAATATGATTTAATATACTAAACACGGTTTGATGTCTGTCTAGCCGCGCGCGCGCCACGCGCGGTTCAATCACACGCGTAAAGGAAAAACACAATGATATACAAGGCCCTTGTGGGCCCCGGTGGCCCGTGTGGCCCGTTCTCAATAGTCATAAACTTCGTGTCATTAGCGGTTTTATTCAGTTGATATCGAACCTTCGTACCGTGAACATCATGGGTAAGCGTGTCTGTCGTCATTGCCCGATACCGGGATGTCACTCTAAATTTTTAGTTCGATTGGCAAACCATTTGGCTCAGGTACACGAGCTGTCTGACTTAGGGAGAAAATATTGGCTCCAGTTTGCTTAATTACAAAATACCAACATGGTTCGAGTTTATGATAAAGATACTCCTCCAAAGACCATTTCGCTATAAATAAGAGCAAACGCAGTTCAACCAGTCAGTTGTCAACATGGACCCAAGGTGGAAACACCCCTTTCCTGCTATTGTAGCTGACCCCACTTGTTGTGGAAAAAGTCATTTTGTCAAACACCTGTTGGAATCTGGAGAAGAATTAATAGACAGAGCTCCTGAAAATATCATTTGGTGTTATGGAATATAGCAACCGGCTTAGGATGAAATGCTAAGGACTATTCCAAACATCACGTTCGTCGAAGGAGTTATCCATGATAAACCCAACCATTCGGAATTTAGTGGTCATTGACGATTTAATGCAGGAACTTAGCAATGATTAAAGAATTACCAATTTGTTTACTAAGGGCTGTCATCACCGAAATTTAAAGGAACGGTATCCCGTTACTGCGCATGCACCAAACTTTGATTTTTGGACAGAATGTCGCGAAATCAAAAGATTCGAGGACAGTAAGAGAACCTTGAAAAATCCGTTTGCATCGCGCTTGGCCGGGTTCAATACGACAATTAAACTTCTCAGGATTACAGATCAGTGATACATTGTTCCGGTTAAGTTTCGATTTGGGCAAAATCTGGATTTTATGGCGTTACTTTTATTGCCGTTGGCCGGAGGACCAAACGATTGGAAGCACTTTGATGACGATTGAAGGCTTATTTCTTCTGCTAGCTTCCATACAAGCTCAGATAATTGTGAAAGGAATACGCAGAAATGAAACAGAAACAATAGAGACTGTAAGAAAGAAACCATTGATACATGGATGTGACTGAGGCGATCTTGTGGAGGGGAGCTTCGCGAAGCAGAATGTTTTGCAACGACGCGTTAGTAAACTTTTGAATCAATCTCCCTACGGCCGACAAAATCAAACAAACAGGCGCTACATGTTTAGAAAAACTAGTGCCCTGAAATCATAATATAATTTTTACTAACCTTCGTGATGATTCATAGTGTTGAGATTGCATTTTTTTGTCTTTCAACGTTTGAGGCTAGAACGCGAGCAAATCAGGCAGATATTACTGGACTTGGCACAATTTACCTCTGACACGAGTTTCAAATTTGAAAATATGTTTTTAAAGCGAGCGAAACAAGATTTTCGGACGCGAGGCGGCCCAGCTAGCGATAAAATCGCGATGAGTCCTCGAACCGCGAACCAAATATTTATATAAGACGAAAGACTTCTTCGATCGCAAAAGTCTAAAATATTACTTGAGAATATAAACAACAAAACCCCGTCGGCGGTGCGGTCCGGAAGGAAATCTTGTCGAGTCAATATGACAGTTCTATTGTCTTTTGAAGAAAAAACAGATGACACTCGCGCGTGCGCATAATCGGGACACTGTCCCTTTAAGCGTTATTTTCATTCTTCAAAATATTTTTCACCGGGGAAAAGAACTGAGAGACATGAGTTTGAATTGCCATTATTTGGTGATGTTCAAGTCTCCGCGAGATAGCAGTCAACTCAGTCACTTGGCGAAACAGATGTTTCCCGGTCATGTCAAATACATGCAAGAAGCGTTTCAGGATGCCACAAAACGCCCTTATGGCTACCTGTTATGCGACCTCAAACCGGAAACACCTACCGACTTCCGGTTACGCACAAACATTTTCCCTGGGGAGACTCAGCTCGCCTATGTCAGAAAGGTATAAAAAAGCTCCGTCGTAGTGATTGATATCAGTTGAGTATGGCCCAGTGACTAAGAAAGAACCACGATTTTCTTAAGCTCCTCGTCAAGTGTACCCCAGCTCAACGTAAAGCAATTTTGAAAGCAGCCGACGACGCTTTAGTAAAAGCCATTTGTAAGTGTGTATTCAACGTACTTAAAGAAACAGTCCCTGTCAGTAAACCGGCCAAGAGAAAACTTCTTAAGCACAAGAAAGCCTTGACTGCTCTGGCTGAAAAGAGTATCCCGCTAAACAAGAAAAAGCAAATCTTGGTACAACACGGAGGAAACTTTTTAAGTGTTTTGCTACCTCCCGTTCTTCGAGTGTTGAGCTCGCTTCTTAGTTAAGATGAATCATACAAGACGCATCGTTCTCGTTCCTGAAAACACTCTGGAACGATTGCAGCAACGCCAGCAGATATTAACACCACCTGTAACACAAACTCTGAAAAATCTGGATAGCCAAATGGGGGATATTTTAGAAAGTAAACAACTTGGTGATGAGGAAAAGGCGAAGCTTTACAATCAGGTGTTGCAACGGTACTTGACTTATTACGATCAGCGGAAAGGCCAGCCTCTCCATGTGAAGTTAACTACCCCTAAACAACAGAAACCCCCAAGCCAGTTGAGAACGCAGAATCTACAGAGGAAGCTTCTCCAGATAATTCTCTTCCAACAGCAGGAGAGCAAGATTTCGTGAAAAGTGTACCCAAAATTTACAAAGCTGGGGCTAGACAGTTGTTGGATAAAATTAAAAAAACACCAGGACGTGTTGCACTGGAATGATAAAGGAGAGCTGTTGTATGAAAACAAACCAATCCCAGGTTCTCATGTGGTCGACCTAGTCAACGACACATTGCGTCACCGAAAAGGATTTGAACCAGTGGGGTGGTCCGTGTTTGCGATGGGCCTGGCTCGAATGAATGTCCCCGAAAACTTGGTTCGTAATCCCCAAGCAAGAGTGAGAGAGGAGACCCCAGAAAGTCCTTCACGTTGGCTACCCATCCCACCTGTGACGTTATCTTCTGCCAAAAAGCAGAGGCGCAGAGTCGAGAGTCCTCACCCTCAGGCTGTTCGATGGTTACGATTATAAATCATGACAAGAGACTTTTTTTATTGTGAAACACAAAACTTCATTTTGTAATTCAATAAAATGTGTTGAAAAGAAATTACATGGTATCTGTTTACTGAACTTAGTGTTGTGCTTTTGCTCTTTGCTTGTTTACATCAGTACGATATTTCGGAAAATTAGGAAAATGTTTAGGAAAATGTTTTTCAATAAATCGTTTTACGAGACTATCATTTTTACTTGTGTTTTTACAAAAACGATGGACAATAGCACTCATACTTATATGCCGACTACGATATAAAGCAAAATACAAACAGTAATGTCCGCAGACTTTTAGAAAGATGCTTTGTAAGGTCACAGTATTAAAAGACCACTGGTTAGAATTGTTGTTTAAAAGGGTAGTATTGTATTTGCTGGGTGGTGATCCGTAAGAATCGCAAAATTCTTCCCATTGCTCCTTGGTGAAATAAAACGCCACCCAATGCGAACCTGGCTTGTCACTCGTATCCACATTGGCGATAAACAGGGCTGGGTAACTGATCTGAGGGATACACGCCTTGAAACAAACCTCGTGTAAATTTATCCTTTCTCAAAATAAGGGTCAGTTGAATAGTGTCCATTTTTAGTTTGTGTAGTCGAACAACACGTTGCGGTTCCCGTCAATTTCAATCACGTTTTGGAATTCAGCGTACACGATAAGGTTAACCGTATTGGCCAGTGGTTCCTTGAAATGAGGCTCAGCGCGCAGGTTACCTTGCTTTATTAGCTCAAAATGGTCACCTGAGCAGTGGTCTGGGGACAAGTCAAAGCAGAATGCTGTGTAACCAGAGCCATAATCGCTTCTACTGATTTGATTACCCGCATCTTGGGATAGCTTTCCAGTGCCTGAGAACAGGCTTTGATAGCCCGCTATTACATTTTGACCTCTGGCTTCGTCAAAATTCAAGAACAGGATTTTCCGAGGAATTTGCTCTCCGTCCACATAGACACCCACTTGAGTTAGATTGTGGTGTTTGAAGTTGAACGGGTTGGTACTATAAGTTCCATTATATGCCTGAGTATCCACTAAGACCAGCACGATTCGTTTAGGAATGTGACCCAAAAAGATGTTGTCGGGGTTAAAACTGCTAAATCCTCTTGGAATAGACAGCACTTTACAATCGACTCGGCGAACCGGGTACTTGGCGCTGGAGTGTTTTAGTGCAACCGCATCGCCAAGTACAATAGAGGAGGCCAATTTCACCCGGCGAACGAACAAGATGGCTTCTGTGATTACCACCTTGAAAGTTGGAGCGGCTGCTGATGATATTAGACAAAACGAGTTCTTGGCTCGGTTCAGTTTGATTCTTAAATTCACTCCATTTAGCATCAACCGGTCTTGAAAGAAAATGTCGCTCTGAATGGGCCCCATCGTATCTACAATATGACTTTCTTTAGTGAAATCATAGCGAGCCTTTAACCTCTTGTTTGCAGCATCGTCTGCAGCCACAGGGTTGGCAACATCCATTTTTCCAGGGGTATCTTTGTAAAACATGGCCATAGAAAGTTGACTGGTTTTTGCTTCTTCTCCGTAGTTTAGCAAGGTTTCGATCATGGCGCGATAAGGGTAGGTATTGGTGGATGGAGAGATCAATCGCTCGTTCAAGGAAACGTCCACTTGGGAAAACAGGGAATGTAAAAACAGGTTCACGGGGCCTACTTGTGTATCTTTGTGATCTTGGCTTTAACAAATAACTGAGTACGTGCCAAGTCCAAATACTCATCTCCGGTTCCCGAAACATAAAATTCGATCGGACCACTGTCGGTGATGTTACTGATGGGGTGGTAGTCGATCTTTTGCCCTTTGGAGATAAAGGTTTGTTTTAATGTTATCTCCATCAAGAACATCTTGGACGACATTGACACCTGTTTGTAAAGCCTTTTTTCCAATCACCTTAGCACCCTGTTGAAGGTGAGGCATCGCCCAGTGAAACAGACCTCTGAATATGGACCCTAGTCCATAACCATGCTGAAATCGAGCACCGTGAAACGCTGGTAAACTCCCACCTTTTTGTTTGGCTTGATTAACATAGTACTGTTCGTACAACTTGTGATTTGGAGTGTGGAGTTTTTTCATCTTTAAAAGTACTGAGGTGCACTTTGACGAAAATGAAGTGTTAACAACACTCTCCCAAACCCAAATGGTACAGACTCCCCTGTTTCTGTCTTTGTATTGACTTCGACAGTTTCAAATTGCTTTCTGCTGACAGGTTGACTGATTGGGGGCGCAAAAATGATTTACTGACTCGCTCCCCAACCTTTCCTTCTACAGGAACAATTCGAAGCAAAGGTACCAATGCATCTCCAACATATTGTGACTGAATAAGATCACAGTAAATGAAAAGGTCGTGAAAGCCGTATTCCAAATCCACTTGTCTTTCAGCGGCAGAGGTATTAGAAATAATTTCTTCTGGTGAAAATCCCAGCAGGTATCCAATGTTACCAAAGAAAAGTTCTACGTTATTTTGTAGGTGAACAGTCACCTTTCTCGTGAACGCATCGTAGGAAAATGTCACATCGTCATTGAAACGCTTTACATTCTCGATCAGCTCTTTCATCTTTGGTAAGATATCTCCAATGAAAGAATAATGACCTGGTGGTACAATTAGGGCTTCCCATTCTTCGGACAATTCTTGGTTCCGAAGGTAGAATCGATTACCAAAATTTTCTTGCACATTATTCCAGCTGTGAGGATAGTGAATTTCCGTTAACGCTACTTCCCAGTCGCCTGTCAAGCTAACGGTTTGAGGTAAACCAACTTGGTACTCCGTTAATGTGTTGCTGGAAAACTTATCGAGGCTGCTATTGCTAAGGAGATGCAGATAAAACTGTTTTACCTCCATCGTACGCTGTGTTGAAATGAACTTTTTAATCTGGGTATTCTAAATTTATTAGAAACCACACACCATTCATTTTATTATTTCATTTTCTTTTATTCACTACACAAAAAATGCATAAATTACAATTTCAAAATATCTCTTTCTTGAACCCAAGAATCAAATTTTGGATCTTCGTATCCTTTCCATCTCACCAGATACTCTACTACGCCTTTACGCTTTCTCTTCCGCAGAATCTTCTCGACGCGGTACACATCATCGTTCTTAATCATTTTCTGTAATTCGGGTTCATAAAATGTTCCATCTAAGATTTCACCTGCATCATCATGTTTAGTTTATAAACGGGTACTTGACGAGCCATTCGCCTGTAAACAGTAAAAATTTCTTCCGTAAAATTAGGTAAGTAAGATTTTTCAAACATTCTCTTCACTTTGCTAATCCTGACGCGATCTCCCAATTGAAATTTATATCGCACAGGCTTTTGAACATCATCCCCATACAAAGTATCCCACACTTTAGCTTCATTCGCTTTAGTCACCTGACTCGGTTTCATTTTAATACTTCGGTGGTAAGTGTTATTGTAAGAAGACACTAACTGGGGTAATACATTGATATAGGTGAGAGTGTTTTGGCCGTGAAATATTTGTACATCTTATTCTTAAATGTGCGGTTAAAACGTGCAACCACTGAGGCTTTGAGCCCAGAGTTAACAGTGAAAAAAGCAATGTTGTTGTCACGCATAAATTTCTGGAACACGAGATTCTTGAACTCTGTTCCTTGATCTGTTTGCAGTTTGATGGGTTTGCGACCAGTAGAAAGGATCTTTTGAAAGGCTTTGACCAGTTCCTGACCTTGTTTTGTCTTCAACGGTAACATAAACGCGTACTTGCTGAAGATATCTATACAAGTCAGTAAGTATTTATAGCCCTTGTTGTAGCGACTGAGATTTTGGAGGTCGACCAAATCCGCTTGAAATTACTCATCTATTCCAAAAACGACGACTCGACTTCTCTTGTAGCGTCTTCTTGCTGGCTTGTGAAGAGTATAAACATCTTGCTGACTTAACCAATCTCGGACTTGCTTACGCTATATCTTGTTCTTTCCTTTTTCTTTGATTGCTCCGTAAACAGGATCTAAACTATCGAAACTCGCGGGTTGACTTGGGTCGAGATAAATGGTGGTCAGTGTTTTCTCCATCACAGTGCTCCGAATTTTGTACGATAACTCTACCCCCACAGCAGGATGCGGCTTAAGATGTGTTCGAATCCAAAAGTGGACGAAGGAGGACAGCACCCCATCACTGGTGATCGCTATGAAGGTTCAAACCCGAATGATTTCTTTTCTCTTGTTTAGTTATATAGCTACCCTCGAATCTGGGTGAGAGTGGGCACGAGAAAATAAAATAATAGTTCCCATTCCTCCTCGGTTAATCCTAGCTTATCCGCGAAGTCAAAAACACCACCAATCGTCCCCAGTTTACTTTTGAAAAGACCTCAGAGTGGTGTTCTTTCAACTTTTCTAGTAGATATTTAAATTTTTGTTCAAGCTTCTCTATCTCACTTGAATACACTTTCAGTGTTTTGGCTTGCGCACGATACAGAGAAAAGTCAACTCGCGGCAAAGACAGAGAAAGCCCCATCACAAACAGACACCGACTCAAAATTTAGTCATATTTCCATCTCAGATCCATGATCACAACTGATTAATTCAACTGTATGCACTCTCATTAAATTGTTTTATAGAAAATTTGATTTAGGTTCACCCTAGAGATAATAGAAAAGTATATGTTATTAGTAGTATGAGGCTACCTTCCACAGAAGATAATCAACTGTGGCAATTTTTGTCTTAATAGGGTACCGGTAGCTTAATTTATCATATACATCCAGGGTGCAAAGAAAGTCAGTTTTACAGCCTGCCATTCTGGCAAGCTGTAGCTACCCCGTACTAGCCCACAAGTCATTTCAACTAGCCCCCAAACCCTTTTTGATTAGCAGGATTGATTACAATCCTTCGGTAATTTGAATTTCTCCAAAAAACAGCACTTGCCCATCAGGCAAGTTAAGAACAAAAATCACTAGCCCGATAGCAAAATCCACTAGCCCTGGGCTATCGGACACGACTTTCCTTGCAGGCTGACATCACATAAAAGTACCAACTTTGCTTTTCAAAGACAAAAGAGAGCTTTTCAATGACTCTTTCGAAGATGTGAAGCCAAAAGAAAATCAGGCTTAGGTTTACCTTCTCGTTTATTTGCAATATTCATTTAAGAAATCTTTGACCAGAGGAAAAGTTGTGATAATCAAAAAGTTGGTTAATTGAGGTCCAGATAATCAAGAATTAACTGTTGGCTTAAATGTCCAAAGTCCATTATTTGTTTATAGATTTTAATAACAGTACATGTTATGGATTTTCTAAGAACTTACATAAATGTAACTTGGATTATTTGGTTAACTGTGGCAAACATTGAAGAGTGCAAATGGTATAGTCTTTGATTACTTTGCAAATTCTCAAGCTATCAATAAGATGCGTGTACAAAAATATATTATGATATGTGAAATTTTTGCTGTTTACCAAATTTTAGTCAAGTCTTTGTAGCATTATTGATTAATGACAAATGTACATTAAACCCTCTAGCGGTCACTCCAGAAGTCAGCTATTTCATTAGTTTTGTTACCTTTGGCCCACCAAACAAACCTTGGCAATTGTGAGGCATTTGCTTTTTGTTATTGGTATTTCCTAAAGTGCATTTAGATATATTTTTAATATAAGAAATAAGAATATTTTGTCTGGACAGTCAACTCTCTTTAAGATGGACACCTTTGGGACCAGCACTACTGATTCGGTATATCCGTCTTATGGAGATCCAAATAGAGTGAGTTATAAAGAGAAACAGGGACCATCTCAAGGTGTCCACTTAACAGAGGTGTTTTTAATAGCTATTATTTAAGATTACATACTCTAATAACAGTGGAACTAAGTGCAATGAAGATTGTTATCTTTCCTGTGGTAATTAACTAAAGATACACTTTGTTGGATGTTGTACCAATGGTACCTGAAGGGAAAGTTTTATTTAATGGTTAATTTTTAATGGGTATGTGCCGCTGGCCTCTCAGTATCCCTATCCCATTACTGTATACCGATAGTCTACTCTGTGGCCATATTATAGACCCCATTTCGGTCACTTTGGAAAAAAAGTGATTTTTGCAATCCCAACTTGGTCACTTTCTGTTTATTTATCTACCTAATAAAGTCTTTTGACTTGGTCATCCTGAAATGAAACTTAATGTTTTAGTTTTGTTTTACAGTTATTGTAAGATCAGGACAAGCTTTGTGAAATAAATGAGAATTGTCAGTTAAAATTCTTGAGTCATTTTTCTTTAAATACTGTAATCACCTTGCACCCTTTACAGTGGAACTCTGATATTTAAGAAGTTTCAAGGAACGAAGTGCAATGAAGATTGTTACTGTTTTAGCAGTGTCTTCGTTATATCAGGGTTTCAGGCAAGGGTTGTGATAAATGAGGGGGAAAGGGGTCGAACTGATGGTCTTTCAACCTGTCCTAGTTGAGTTGAATGAACTTCTGCAGCATTAGTCCACTTTAAAGCAATAAAGGGGTAGATTCCAGGGAAGAAAAGAGAGAAGGGTAGAACGTATGTACTGGCCTGTCACGCTCACTTTACAATATAAAATTTGCTCTATATTTGTCCATACAAATATGTTATTTGACAAAGTTTGAACACATTTGAACACATTTGTTTGCAGTTTGGCTCATTTATCTGTATTTGTCACAAAGCAAATGTTAAATTTGTCCTACATTTACACAGCATTTGTTCACATTTGTCTTAGATAGCAAATGCATCATTATCCTATTTGTCTTAAAGACAAATGTCTAATTTGTGCTTTGCACAAATGTGAACAAATATGACAAATTTTATATTTAGACCACATTTGTCCCACATTTATCTCATTTCACATTTGTTTTTTCATCCAGTGTTAGCCTCTTTGTCATACACACGAATCGCATTGGTATCTCTGATAAATCGTGTACCTGAGCCAAATGGTTTGCTAATCAAACTAAAAATTTAGAGTGACATCCCGGTATCGGGCAATGACGACAGACACGCTTACCCATGATGTTCACGGTACAAAGGTTCGATATCAACTGAATAAAACCGCTAATGACACGAAGTTTATGACTACTGAGAACGGGCCACAGGGGCCACCGGGGGCCACAAGGGCCTTGTATATCACTGTGTTTTTCCTTTACGCGGGTGATTGAATCGCGCGTGGCGCACACACGCGCGCGCGGCTAGACAGACAACAAACCGTGTTTAGTATATTAAACCATTTACAAACTATGAACAAATGACATTTTTTAGACATAAAGGAAAACTCTATATATACAATGCGATACAGAGAAAAGTCTACCCAAACCAAACACAGAGAAAGCCCCATCTTGAAAAAGACAGAGACAAACACACACGCTTAGTCATCATGAAGAAATTTTATTACTTTTAGAAACAAAGCTTATTTTGGATGTCATTAATTATCATGTCGAGGTCCATTGGTGTTCTTCTTTTCTCACGACTCTATCAGGGCATTCTATTGTTTCTTGTTGATCACTGAAATCCTTCCATTTGAGCCCATTTGGTGCGTAGTATAGAGCGTATAAAATACGGCTTTGAAGATCATCACCCTGCTAAACAACATCACGTTCCAGAGAAGCGAGGTAAATACTGGTCCACGACAATATTTGGCAGTACGCTTCCCATGATTTACGTAGTTTGAAGCCGACAGCACTGCATATACTTTCGGTAGCGTTCAGCATAGAATTCAGGTCAATTTGTTCCACCACTTCATCTTGGTAATACTTCCATGCGTCATCATTATCCATCATGAGGCAAGAATGTTGGTTTTGACTTGGGTGTTGAATAGCACAACCGTCGCAGTGATTCAGCTTTTCTTGTTGGATGAGTTTGTCAACAAAAGCCGCATAAGTCGGTTAGAATACATGTCCAATAAAACTGGCTATCCTTTGACGCTGGACAATGTTTCAAAGAATATTGGTGAGAGTTAAGACTTTTTTCCGAGCAAACTGAACTTTTAAGAATGAAATCATGATTGAACGGAAGGCGTGTTTGTATGTTGAACACATAATAGATTGTTTACTATCAAATCAGGGTTAAAAGAGCCCTCTTTTTCTGAATCGTCTTGCAGTTTTTGCGACAGGTATTTCATAGATTTGTCGATAGACAGAGAATTACAATTTTGCAAAGAAATACAACATGTTCTAGATGATTGTGAAACAACATTCCTTGACTTTTTTCGAAGTGGGAACTCAATGTCCTAATCGCTTATTTTTTAAAAAAGACAAAAGCTAAACGGCTAATTCTTAATTGCATTTTTTTTACACGATACCTGGTCTTAAGTTGAAGATTTTTGCATAATCAACCCGCCGCGTGTTTGTCCAAAGACAACTATGGCTGAGAAATAATTCTCTTATGGTGGTCCGTTTTCCAACAAACTACAGCTACAACGGATTGCATTTCAAAAAGTTCATACATGTCACGACTATTGTCCATCTTTGGTCAAATTATGTTGGTGTTCTACAAAAGGGGGTTGGAGACAGTGGACACCGACTCCAAGGCGTGCTTTTGTTAGACGATGTAGAGAACTCAATCATTATTCGCCAGCATTAATTACTGCGGTTCAATTTCTTTTTTATGACCGGACTTTTTCATAAAACATTGCAATTTATGTTACAGATTTCTTCGTTCACTAATTGCCCACGGTTGTCATGGACATAGACCCTCTCTTGTTAAACTTTGTTGCTGTTCCACGTGCGACAACAACGGTTTCGTAAACTTTGATATAAAACCTTATCTAAAACGTTGTCACGAACTTCACGATCAATTTTGGATCAATTTCTTTTTGGAACTGTCATTCAACATTAAGATTCACCAATGTCACGCGTATTCCCCGTCTCTGGTCAAATTATGTTGGTGTTCCAAAAGAGATGGATGGAGCAATTGGAAAACTAAACGTAAATTTATACAACAATGTAATGAACTATACAGAGCACCAATCTACGTTAATTTAAATAATTTTACGTATCTGTTTTAACACAAGGGCGTGACGTCACTAGCGCGTCACACACGTCCCGATTGTAACGCTAGGTATGACGTCAGAATAAAACTGGTTGAAACGTGACTTTCCGTGTGTCTTTCATGACGGGGGTATGTTGGGAGACTTTTCGTGATGGTTTTACATGTAGTACTAACCCCCATGAAATCCTGGACGCTGATTGGTCGAGAGTTAATTAACTCAGTCACGTGTTTGAAATACTCGATTCTGATTGGTCGTGCCACCCAGTAGCGACTATGACTATTACTAATAATATTGAGACACTTATAAAGCGCCCTTCCCCCAGGGTCCAAGGCGCCATTTAAAGATAAAATTTAAAATTTAGAAATAGAAAACTACAAAAACTTAAGATAAAATAATTTAAGATCTGATATAAAAACACCACTGTCACGTAATCAATTTAAAAAGGCGCGTCTAAAAAATATTGTTTTCAACTGTCTGTTAAAAAGTCTAGTGATCCAGCATGCCTAATATGCTGAGGAAGACTGTTCCAAAGAAGCGGCGTAGCAACAGAAAAAGCTCGACGGCCATAACTGTTGATGTTAAAAGCAGGCATGACAAGTAGATTTTTTTTGAAGACCTAAGATCCCGTACTGGAAGGTAACATTTAAGAAGATCTTTGATATAAGTAGGATCATGTCCATGGAAAGTCTTGCAGATAACGATAAGTATTTTCAATTCAATCCGGAGATAAATAGAGAGCCAGTGAAGATTCGCAAGAACAGGTGTAATATGACAGAACTTGGAAGAGAGTACAGTAACGAATTACATTAGTCAAGCTTTGATGTAACGAGAGCTTGAACAAGAAGCTGGGCTGCATCAAAGGTGAGATGTTTACGAATGAGCCTAATTTTACGGAGATGATAGAATGCAGATTTGCACATTGCTGTCACCTGAGGAACCATATTCAAAGATTCGTCGAAGAGAACTCCAATGTTTCCCGCTCTTGGGGAAGCCAGCACTCTCTCATCACAAACATGAATATGTGACAAAGGAGGTCGACCACGGTGCAAAGATGACATCACAAGAAGTTAAGTTTTGTCTTTATTTAAATTTAGCTTATTCAGAAGCGTCCAGGAGTCAATTACTAGTACACAGCCTTCCAATCTACACTTGCTCAATTGCATATCATTAAGGGATGACGTCTCGAACGTTACATAAAGCTGCCTGTCATCCGCATAAAAGTGAAAACTTAGTTCATGATTACTGGCGATATCACTCAGTAGAGAGGCGTACAATGAGAATAAAAGAAGTCCAAGAACCAAACCCTGGGGTACACCAACTGCAGAACACGTCGCTCGGAGGTACAGATCCATTGGTGTTTACAAACTGAGTGCGATCACCCAACTACAATCGAAACCATTCCAATGCCGTACCACCAATTCCAAATCGACGAGAAAGGCGCGAAAGTAAGATACAGTGATCCAGAGTCTCAATTGCCGCTGAAAGATCAAGGAGCTGCAAAATCAGTGATCTTTTCTGATCTAAGGCAATTGTGATATCATTATGGACACGGATTAAGACCGTCTCAGTGCTGTGAAGTTTCCTGAACGCTGGTTGATACAAGACATTAAGACCCTTGGCATCTAAATAATCAGTAACCTACTTGGCAACACATTTCTCGACTACTTTAGACAGAAAACCCTACTTCGAAATTGGCCTAAAATTCTTGAATTCATCATTACTCAAAGATTGCTTCTTGAGCAGTGCCATAATTTGACACTGGCCACTTTCAAATCAGTAGAAAGTACTCCAGATTCCACTGAAAGGTTGATAATCTTGGTTATCACTGAACTGACAATTCATGATAAAAACAGGAATAGGGTCTAAGTCACAAGACTTTAAACTCATAATGTCAGGTCTCCGAAGCAAATCGCCGTAGACTACCAATTTCCTTTACTTTGTCGGGAACCCTCATTCTTCCAGTAAATATATAATGGAATTCTTGGCCCAGCAGAAGCGGTATTGGTTCTGTTCTTTAGATCTCTTCGCTTCGAACAACAGGTTTTGAATAGGGGGTGAGATGATCGAAGATTTTGAGTCTATCGAGAACACTATCAGCAGACAGACCGATGTTTGATGGGTTGACTTGAGAGGCACTTTGTCGAGTTTCCACGACACTTTCTTTTGCTAGGTGTCTCAAGAATTTGCAGATGATGGGTTTCGGGGCGCCATTTTGCTGTCTCGCGGGGGCGCGATGAGCAATGTCCGACAGAAACACTTCTCTCCCCAACTCCTGGAATAATTTTACGCTCAGGGCGCTTGTTTCAGCTGCGGTTTCACTGATTTTCTCTGGTAGGCCAATTATTGAGTTAATAGCTCTATTCCTCAACCTCGTCAATGGGGTTGCCAACACGTGCAACTTCAGCGTTGCGCTGATTAAGGCTTAATGCCTTGACCTGATTAACGACATCAGAATTAGAGGCCGACAGGTCGTCGTATTCGTCGCTCCGATATTGTAGACTACGAGACACGGTTTCATCATTCGAAGAATTATGGCTGCTATTTCCAGAGGTAGCGATTACTTCGGCACCAGAGGTAATGGCCCAGTCGATAAGAACCTACTCTTTCAGCTGTGCTATTTCCTTCGAAAGAGCGTCGACTTTATCCTATATATATTTCAGTCTTTTGTATTATGTCATTTAGTGATCGCACACGTCGTCAACTCACCAAGAAACTAGCGCGACGAATTTCCTCATACTTAATCAATTCATATTCACTGAATTCTGCTTAAGATACAGTACAGTACACACTAAAAGACGCCCCTTTATTTCTCAAGGTTTTCCCGGCTGATTATCGTGGACAATATTAAGAATGATGTAAAGTGACAAAAAATACAATACACCTTAGTAAACTGAAATTTAAGGGAATTTAAAATATTTTACATTGTTGAAACTGTTGTTAACAACTGAATTCCCTTGGTAAGAAGAATCTATCACATAACTGTATCAAATTAGGCAAACACCACAAAAGATATGTGAACTATACAAAACAATTTTTAAAACAGATTACTTTTTTGGCAAAAGGCAAAAAAAAGATACAAGATACACACTCAAGCATCATGCATACCTATAATATAAACAGGAGGAAAGAAATGCGCTCTTACTTTCTGATTTGAGATAGGAATGAACTTCAACCTCGCATAGCGTCAAAGCTATCTTGCGAAGTAATCTGATGTACAAATATCTGCCATATGCTTTGGGACGACAGGAATATGTCTTGGAACCTCCTTGTGGGATTTGTGTGATATTTGCACAAAGATGGTTGTTTGCCCCTCCATTTGTTGTGTCATTTCCTTGCAAAGCGAATAAAAGAAAATATGAGGTAACATCAACTGCAGTATTTGAACATAATTCTTGTATAATAATAGTTGAAAAGGTAACAAAGAAACGATCTTGGTATTCGCTTTAAGATCAGGGGAGTGCTACAATCGCACTTGCAAAACCTTTACTTTGATGTATGTATTGGCTCACTGAAATAGAATCTGTGCGAATCTTTACTTTACATGAAGGTAACCAAGTAGGAAGAAAATGCTTGTAACGGATCGGCGCCCGAAACCTCAAGAACCAACTTGTTTGGGTTCGACGCGATAAATTACGATTACGTGGATGTACTTTAATTTTACGGAAGCTCTCCTTGAATCAATCTTAATTTATCACAACATCCACGGACCCAAGATCACATCGTAAACTGAAACAATAACAATATCTATAAGTAATTGCATGATTTCGAGCACAAACAACGTGCGAAACAACGGCAAGGGAAAGACAAAAAAGCGTGCTGCACGTGCAAAAGCCAATGGAAAAGTAATCTCATATTAATTGAAATATTTCAAAATGAACAAGGAACAAATCTGAACAAGGTAAATCAAGTGATTACAGCATCTCCCACACTTACTACCCACCAACTCTTATCTCAGCTCCGTTTAACCTGCTCCCACAGCAGTCCCCTCTGTTGAGTATATTCACTTCAGCTACAGGCTCTACTCGTTCCAGGTCTACTCGCCACCAAGGACTGTTGTCTTCGAGAGTGTGTGTACATTTGCCAATCATTGTACCCCTATTTCCATCCACCGCATTGCTAGCATAGTAATTACCGAGTCTACTTGACTGAGAGGTCGGCTTGAATAGGGCAATATTACTCTGAACTGAAAACCAAACAAATAATAACAATTACAGATAAACACAGCAGGGTTTCAGGCTGTGCTCTCCCCAGCTCTTGGGCTACTAGAAAATCTCAGAAATCATATTCTGGCATGGGCACCCTGGATCTCACAGCTATAGAGCATTGGGCCCCTTAGAAGTTTTCTTAGGGTACAGCCTTAAACAGCGGAAAATCAAGTATTGAAGGCATTTCTGAATCAACTTGTTAATGTTCAAAGTACATGTACAGCTGTACATACATGTAGTGTGTCTGCAGTGCAGAATAAAAAGATGGCCATGGCAAGTATTTTTTTAATCAGATTACTTGTTTAGTAAAAGGAGAAAAAAAAGATACACACACAAGCATCATGCATACCTACAAAATAAACAGGAGGAAAGATTAACACTCTTACTTAATGAATAAACTTCAACCTCGCAGAGAGTCAAAATTTTGTTTCTGCCAGGTATTCTGATGTACAAATATCTGCCATATGCTTTGGGACGACAGGAATATGTCTTGGAACCTCCTTGTGGGATTTGTATGTTATTTGCACAAAGACTGTTGTTTGCTCCTCCATTTGTTGTTTCATTTCCTGGCAAAGTGAATTAAAGAAAATGTGAAGTTCCAGAAAATATCCATAACATCCGGGACCCGAGTGGTTTCTTTTCCATAATCTCACACGTGAGTTTATCCATGACGTAATTTCGGTCATTTCCCTCTATTATTTTATCGATGTCTTTTTGTCTATATAATAAAAAGGACATTACACGGCGGGTGAAGATATGAATTTTAGTTCTCGTGGCAAAAACAATATCTTGCTCAGTCGCTGCGCTCGTTCGTAAAATATTGTTTTGCCACTCGAAAATAAAATTCATATCTTCGCGCCAACGTGTAATATTCTCTATATATCTACCACTAGAGTCTACTTACATCCCACCCTCCTCTTTCCTGATTGCGATGATACTGGATGATTACCGCGATAATATCACGTTAGAATCTACTAAAGTCTATTTAGATCTCCCTTTCCCCTTTCCTGATTGCGATGATATCGGATATTATCGCGATAATATCACGTTAGAATCTATTAGAGTCTACTTAGATCTCCCTTTCCTCTTTCCTGACTGTGATGATATTGGATTTATCTGTAATAGTGGAGCTCCACCCGCGGCGCTAGCAGAGCCCCATAGCTAAGGAAATGTGGTAATCTACCCATCCGAGAAAATTTGGTAATCACGTGACCGTACACCGAGCGAGCGAGCGACCGTCCATCCGAACCACCGGCATACCAATGTAAAATAACTCAATCAACAGGTATGGGAACTTAAATGCAACTCAAGGTTTTATTTGGAAGGAAATGACATGGCCGCCCCGACTTTTAGAAAGAAAAAAGTCGTGTCTATTTGGGCATTATTTTTGATGTTTACACTAACGTGGATAACAGAGAAAGAGCTAGAGCGAGTTATTGAAAACAAAGGAGACAAATTTCGTAGGAAGAAAAACATGGCAATTCAAAGCGGCGGTGAGAAAATGAGAAATCCTAGCGGCCAGCAAAGTGAAAATGAGCAACAGTGAAAAATAAAAGCGAACATGAACACAGGAAACAAAATATTGGGTAAGCACATGCGACAATTCCTCCATAAAAGTAATGTGTAACTGGGAAGTTTGACGTTTTAGTCGTACAAAACAGCGTTGTAGTCGTGCGAAACAACGGCAAGGGAAAGACAAAAAAGCGTGCTTCACGTGCAAAAGCCAATGGAAAAGTAATCTCATATTAATTGAAATATTTCAAAATGAACAAGGAACAAATCTGAACAAGGTAAAGCAACTGATTACAGCATTTCCCACACTTACTACCTACCAACTCTTATCTCAGCTCCGTTTAACCTCGTCCCACAACACTCTCCTCTGTTGAGTATATTCACTTCAGCTACAGGCTCTACTCGCCCCAGGTCTACTCGCCACCAAGGATCGCTTTCTGTTAAAGTGTGTGTACACTTGCTGGACTGTGGACCCCTATTTCCATCCACCGCATTGCTAGCATACCAATTGGCATTGTATGTACTTGTCTGAGAGGTCGGCTTGAATAGGGCAATATTACTCTGAACTGAAAACCAAACAAATAATAAAAATTACAGATACACGTAGCAGGGTTGCAGGTTGTGCTCTCAGCCCCAGCCCCTGGAGACCACTTCAGGGTTCTTAATTCTGTTCTTGGGAGACTAGAGAATTTCAGCTTTTGCATGGAAATCATATGCTGGGTAACTTGGGTTTCACAGGTACAGAGCATTGGGAACCTTAGAATTTTTCTTAGAGCACACGCTTAAAAAGAGGAAAATCAAGGATTGAAGACTTTCCAGAATCAACTTGTTAATGTTCAAAGTACATGTACAGTTGTATATTTAGTGTGTCTGCAGTGGAGTATAAAAAAATAGTCTTGGCAAGTATTGATCAGTTGAGTCTCAACCTCTTAATTTTGACAGGTTGGTCACAAACTATCTTGAAAACACATCTAGCCATCTCTCTTCATTCCTTGCCAATGAAGACCTTTCACAGGAAATACATCTGCAAAATGGCCCCCAAATTTCCATATTGATGACATGAATCAATGTTTACAAAATTAATCTTGTAGTCATGGGGTTCTAGCTAGAAAATTGTTTGTCTTAAAGTCTCTCCTCGTCTATTTGCTGCAGCAAAACTCAAATTCTTCTTATAAAGAAGATTATATTCCATGAATCATTTAAGAATTTGTTCATGCTTAGCGTGCGTATATCGAGTTATGGATGCACGCGGGAAATGTGGAGAGCACGAAAGATGCGTAAGAGTTGCACGAGGCGATAGTCGAGTGCAACTCTAGCTTCTTGAGTGCTCTCCAAACTTCCCGAGTGCATCCATAACTCGATATACGCACAGCTAAGAGCATGAGGAAATTCTTTGATAACATAGCTGACAAAAATGCTTGCTTTTTGATTAACTGCAAAATTCTCGTAACGCGTTACACAATAACAAAGGGTTCTATTGGCGGATTACGAACACGCCACAATCGTCTAGTTTGAACGAAAATATTCTTTCTGCAAAACTGAGAAAGTAAATTTGCTTCTTTATTCGTTAACGATCAATGGAAACTAAGCAGAAACAAAGGTAAAAGAGTCTTAAAGTTCACCTAAAGTTAAAATACTAACATGTTCGTAAGAAGTCGTGGAGTATGGTATGGATTTGTTCGGCGAAATCCAGAAAACATGTTTTTAGCCTGTCTGTCATCCTTCTTTAAACTTATATTCATTTACGAACATTGGCTGGTCATTACGGCTTCTTGAGAAGACCTGGCAGCAGTTGTTTTTGTGAGTAATAAATTTATGTCTTCTTGTGTAATTTGTGTTGTTATTGCGAGAGAAATTTTCCTGCTTCAGTCGGATTGTCCGGAGATAACAAAAGTGCGTAACAAATTTAAAAACAACAATAAAAACGGAAATGTTACCCATAAATGTTGTTGATGACCAGTTGGTGTTCGTTCTGTTCCCAGTGAATGTCTTTCGGCCAAAATTTGCTGCAGCTGGTCTTCCGACAAATTTGCGAAACTCGCCACTTGCGAATTTTTTTAATTCGGCTTTATTTTTGCTGCTTGTTCGATCAGGACCTAAAAGGTCAATGCCGAAATAAAAATCGGGCAGTTCTTCGCTGCACTACAGCTTAAAAGACGAGAACTGTTCTTTGCAGCCAGCTTAAAAAAAAATGCTCACGTCATCTTCTTTAAGCACGGGCGTGCGTAAATAAAGATTTTGTTCATAGCGGCTCAATAGAACTTATATAGGGCAAGCACGTGCGCTATGTTATAAGACTTTTTTAGTTGATTCATGGCATTTACTGTCCTGTACATCTTTGTGACCTTTTGTATGTTTCTGTCATTCGTAAACAATAACTAAAAGAACAGAATGACAACTTTGACCAATCCCTGTTCGTTGACTAGATTCCAGACAAATCTACATATGATGATCAATATAAAATCTTTGGGGCAAAATTGCAGACCTCTTTCATGTGAAATGTCTTTAGTGGCAAGGAGTGAGGAGAGACTACGCCATACAGTGAATTACTTGCAAAGACTGTATTTTAACAAGATTTTTGAAAAGAATGAAAAAGATAATGGTTCAAGAGCTGATGTTGTTGCAAAAAGGAAAAAGATCTTTTCAGTGATGCTAAGGAAGGAAGGTTCCACAACTGGGTAAAAAACTATATTCCTTACAAACTGAACAATTTCTGCAATTAAAAATATCAAACCGCTGCTTCTAGGTATGCCAGAGACTTCTACTCGTAAGCAAGCTCCACCATGTGTAGACCCAACAACAAAACGCAAGTATCTGGCAACAAATGCACTGAACAAGATCTGTTTTTCTACTGAGTTCTGATCGAAGTTTCCATTGAAGGTCTGGAAAAAAAAAATCAAAATTGAACAAAAAAAGGCTTATCATTTAGGTGGTAATTCTTAAAGCAGTAAAGATAGAGTTCAAGGTATTAAACCCAGGGCTGTCACTAAGATTTTTAGTGGCAAGATATATGCAAATTATAGGTAAGAATTTGAACAGCAAGGAAATTCTATTGGTTCATTCTGCTTTCGTTTTGTTTCCTATGAAAGTAGCCAGGGGTCATACTGGTAGTAGGACATAGCTAGGAAATTCCTGGTCCCTGGCTCTAAGTGACTTTCCTGTGAACCCAGTGGGGTATCAACCTCTCACTCCCCACTTCCCACTCCCCCCTGCTGGATTTGGATTTGGATTTGGAACTTTTCTCCTTTACACGCTTGTCATTCTTCCACCTCAGTATATAAGTGTGATGAAGGTAACCTTTGAACAGACTAACATTCCATTCACAGGGGAGAAGCAATTTATACTCCTAGGTGCTTCATGCAGCAGAAAATGGGTTAGCCCTGGAGTTTGAGTACCCCAACCCCCCCCCCCCCATCCCCCACATCATCCCCACCCCTATTCTTTCATCTTGCCCTTCCTAAAAACACCTGAACACCTGTAACTGTAGTATTAATGATACCAAAATTCTACTGTACAATAAAAGGGTATCCAATTTATGACTCAATTAGCCAGGGTTGCTTTAACACTTTACGAAGCAGACAAAAGCACAAACCAGAGCTAAATTGTTTCTGAGTGGTGTCCTGAAAGAAGTGACAACAGCCACAGCCTTTTCCTACCTCCTCCTACCCCTCCTCCACCGCCCCCCCCCCAAACTTTCTGCCTTACCTTTCATAGGGAAACATAAACATTTGAGCTACACATGGTGATGTCCTGTGTCAGGATTACCAAGGAAACCAGATAATATTAATTTACCCTCTATGTAGATCAGATCAGAACCCCGAGTAGTTTCACAAGGAGGGGACTTAGTTACACGTACTTTACTTTATGAATCTGAAAGCTGAAAAGTAATAGTAAATTTACAGCAAGTTTTTCAAGTGTAGATCATTTGCCCATTGCTTTAAACCATTTATGTGGCTGAATCCTCTTGGAATTTTCTCTTTTTTTAAATATAGTTTTTTATTTCAATCTCTAACAACACTTACCATGACTTACGTAGACAACAAAAGTTGCCTTTAAATAAACTAAAAAAAAAAACAATAAAGAACAAAAAGAAATTACCATACTTTACAATAAATTACAGTACATTGTATTGCAGTCTTGCTACAAAAGTACACTAAAATCAATGCAATTCTGATGTTGAGTATAGTCCTTACTGGTTGAAAATTCTTCTCAATTAAAGGTTTCCATTTATAATAGTAATATTCACGTGAATTAATACTTATTGCTATTTGTTTTTCTATCTCGGCGTTGTTTACCACTATGGTTAAATTAGAGGCCATCATTGATTACGGATCCGCGTTCGTCACTTACGGAAACGAAATCGAGTCGAAAGGAGTCTAGTTTCCCGGCCGAGATGCCCCTGATAAAATTAGCAGAGGCGGCTAATTTGTAGTCGCCCGTGATAGCTTGAAAATTTCTGCCTTTGTGCTACAGAAACACCAGATTAAGATGCCTTCTGACGAACGCGACAAACATTTATTAATAACTAGAGGAAATCATTGATTACGGATCCGCGTTCGTCAATCGAGTCGAACTGGCAAAGCATACCGCAATGGTACACGGACAAAGTTACATAAAACATAATAATAGAAAACAACAATAGCAGAAACAAAAACATCTATTTTGTAAAACCTTCCTAGGAGAATGTTGTGCAGAATCAACTCTAACTTAAATTCTTGGAATTTCAATTAAGCAAATTCATGCAAATTATGCAAAAATTACCCCCTAAATGGAGCATTAGAGTTCTGCTGTGTAGAGTTCGATAAACCTCGCGCAAAAATAAACTTTCAGTCAAAGGCTCCTTTTACCTATTTTTATTTATTTATTTTTTCTATTCGCTTTTCATCTCACTACCATTCTCGTCCAGGGTAAGCAATGAAAGCCCTTCTTTTTGCCCTAGTTTCTTCTATAGATTTTTTTTTTATAGGGAACGAGCTCCTTTCGTCGTTCTTGTGTTCTCTTTCCTTGAAAGGGATTATCCTTTCGTCTAACAGCGGCGTTTATCAGTGTATCGTAAGAACGCTACATGAATTGGTCTTGGTTTTTCGTTGTCAGAATTTTTCGCTCGCCTTGTTGCTGTACGATGCGCCCGTTCTATTTCAACATGTACACATAGAGTCTCTAGGCCCATGTGAGTAGCTATAAAGTCTTGGATGAAATCTGCACATTCTTGTCCTTCTGCTTTTTCCGGAACATGATAGTATACAAGGTTGTTTCGCCTAGACGTGTTGTGTAATTCCTCAACTTCGTTTTCCAGTTCCTCAAGCTTCTCTTTCTCCACTTTCTTTCCAAGTCTTGTTCTACATCTGCCACATCACTGTTGCGACATTACCTTTGATGTTTTTTTTATATCGTATTCAATTTTACTTAGCCGGTCGTTAATTTTGTCAAGCACCTTCAGCTTTTCTAACTTCATCTGACTGTCCTGAATCAACAACAGCGTTCTCGGCTAGCACGCTGGAGTATGTCTGGAGTGGTCGTCTTCTTCCGAGCTCGAGACCCGTGTCCGTTATTGACTTTGTTGGGTTGAATCCTGCAGGTTTTGGGGTAAAATAGATTATGGAATGCTATGTACTTGCTTGTCAACTTGAATTGGAGCGAAATTTTATCTTCTAGACCCGTTTATGCTGGAGCGCTAAAAACAAACGTCTATTCCATCACCTCTCTCATCCCAATCTTCTTGGAATGACAGAAAGCTGTGTACTGATCGGCAAATGGCAAAAATTTAATTCTTAGACAAAAATTTTGCCTCAAGTCCTTTGATCCAACAATTTTAAATGGTGCCCAACAAATGATCCTCGTGCACATTCAAAGAACCAGTCTGGTGGCAAGCATTAAGAATGGGATAAAACATTTTCTTTTCTCGACTACTGCAACTATTGCTCAGAAAAGCCTGTTAATACATTTAATTTGCATCCTGCTTACAAATCTCACAGTTCCCTGCCTTCACAGCTCAAGAAAAATCCAGAGCCCAAAAACACTTTTTTTTTATACACACAAGTATTGTATTAAGATCACTTTTGTACGTGAGTGAAAATAAACTTGACACTGGTTTCCTTTTACTTGTGTCCCGGGGACCTGTGTACTTGGTTCATTCACAAGAATAATCTTACTGTAAGTACATGTACCTCCGAAATGAAGCTCTTAACATTTTATTCATATTAACATGAACTGAAACTGTTGCTCTCAAGTTGCAGAGGGCATCTTCCCTTTAAATGATATTCAATCAATACCACTAGAACTGTATCTCAACAGTTGTGGTGTAAAATAAAAAAAGCCTATCTTAGGATGATTACCATTGGTTAAAACTGTCAAGCAAGAAAGGTCCAGTCAACATAATTCCACTATCAATCAGATTTGTGCTTGCATCAAGACCAGTCTTACCATAAGTAGGGTGGTAGGAAAAAGCAAAAAAACTCAAAAAAAGCATTTTTCCTTTTTAAAGTCATGGGCCAGGCCATTACTATATGCACCCTTTAACTTCAACTACCTTAACTTGTCCATTTTCTTTATAGTCTGTCCATGTTGTCCCATTTGTAGATGACTGTAGGGTGTAAGACTCCACCCACTGACTCCCCTGGGAATTCCCCTGAGTGGATACAGCACAGATGATATAAGGAATCTGTAAGTCAATCTGTAGATATGGACTGCTGTCACTTGTGGATGCACACCATGATGATCCCGCCACGAAGTTCAGTCTACCGTTCTTTGCTGGTGTGCTGGCATTCAGTTCAGAAGAAGCATTTAACTGATTGTCGAGAATGTACCAGCTCACTCCTACATCAACTTGTTCACATGATGCTACAAAAAGGGATAAAACATTGAAATTACCGGTTGGCTAGAATGCATCTATCAGCTAGACCTATTTAAGCATCTTGTTCAAACGAATGTTAAAACATACAGTATTGCACCCGCGTAAAAGAAGCTACTTTTTTTAAAGTCTGGCATCTCTTTTGAGACAACGGGTTTTTTGGATTTTGTTCTGCCATTTAACGCTCGCGGCTTTCCGTTAAAAATTTGCTTTGCCCGACTCTTCCACGCTTATCGTTATCTTTTAAAAGGGAAATGGAATCCATTTAAAAACTTGTCTTCAGTTAACCGTAAACTATTCCAGCGTGCCATCCTTTTAACACTAGTGGCCGTTTTTGCTTTCCAGGTCACATTTCTTAGTGATCCCTTCAAGGGATTTCCTTCCAAGATGTGCCTTTCTTTATTTTTTAAGTACAAATAAAGTTCCATCATTGCCTGAGGTCTCATTTCCGCAATATATGAAAAATGAAAGTTATTATTCCGCCATTGTGATGCAACCAAAAGTGCCTTTGAACTGAAGAGCAATACTAGACAAAACTGATCACAATTCGGAAAGAAGTCGGTAGAGCTGGGAAAATGGGAGGTTCAATGATGGCTTTATAAAAGATATTCATCGCAAATTGGATGAAAATAAATACTTCGCTGTTTGACTCGCATGGTGTCAAACTATGCCTCAGGACGCAAACAAGCAAAGCATCGATATATTCTGACTGTAACCGCTTACCGGATACCTCTCGTTGTCCCAAAAGACAAATTGCCGCGAAGAAGTATAAGATAATTTGCTTGTCATCCATGTGTTATCTTAAGCAAAAAAACAGCAGTACAAAGTACAAATTGCGCACTCTCTTTTTAAGATTTGCCCCCGATTAAGAGCGGCGGTCTGTCAATAAGGGGCCTTTAGCACTAGGTTTTTCATGGGAAACTGCAAACCGCAAAATATCACGTGACCACGGCCTTGCGGTCACGTTTTCAGTTTGCAGTTCACGTTTGAACCGCAAGAAGCGCTTCCAGCGGTAAGTGATTTACGGCAAGGTTTTTTGCCGCAAAAAATTGTAGAGCCTCGCGTTTAAAGGTATGAACTAGCTTTTAATATCCGTTTGCGATGCGTTTGTTCGATTTTTGATCTCGAATCAATGAATTATTGCTGACTTTTGGGCAATTCAAACGATGCACTTCGACTTGCTGAAAACAATATGGCGGCCCTAAACAATGAACGCGTAGTTCAAATCAATTTTATATTCCTTTCTGCCGTACTAACAAAGGAAAGTATTCTGTTCCAATCCAGAGTTAATTTTTTTTGTCTATCTTGTTACTGAATTCATAACTTAACTCAGTCTCTGTTTAGTTCCTATTTTTGACGTATCACTCCGCGAATTTCATTTCATTTTGCTTATTTCTTTGAGACTGGGAAGCCCAGCCTTCATAAAGTCTGGTTTCTTCTGGGCTCCCTTGCAACATTACAATTCCAAAATATATCCATGTATCATATTATATTTTGGCTAAATAAAAATGAACTGAACTGAACGCCTTGCTAAAGTTTGAAATCTTGGCAACGTGAAACTGCAAACGCGAAACTGCCGTTTGCGGTTTGCGGTTTGCCTGATGCGAAAGGTCTCTAATATAGAGAATTTGCCTTCAAAACACAAATTTGGAAATACTTCATTTTCGGTCAGGAAAACCCTTTGGTAAAACATTATCAAAAATCACAATCAAAGTTTCCAAAGGACTTCCTTTTTCGAGAAAACTGCCAAAAAGTGAAATGCTGCCCCACGTCATATAGTCGCCGGTCTAAAACCTTTGAATTTTACCATTTTCAAAGCTCTCGGGAAGAAAGGCGGTTGAAAGAAACAAGTTCGTCTTTGGCAGGTAAGTAAGGCATCCCAGTTAAAATACTATTTGGTAAAAATATTGCAAGATAATACATTTTTTACTCGGTTAAAAATCGCCCGAAGATTCCTATTTGCAGCACTTTCATAAGAAATGAAGTTTTGGGAAACTTTAAAGGATAAAATCACGGCTTGGTACATGATATTTTATGAGAATCATTATATCTCAGTAAAGCCCCACTGTTGTAGTACAACATATGAAAAATCCAGCTTGGGCAATTAAGAGGCTGTCCGCGTAAGAACCGATAAGGCAAATTTCGGTGTATCACAGATTGCCCTGATTTTTTCAGTGGAAGATAACTATCCTATCCCATGAAGAAATATCACATTTATTTGGACCAACTCAATTTTTTCTCTATATTACAGGAAGATTTTCTCGGTCACCTAAAACTGGCCCGTTTGCCGTCAGAAGTGGTGCGATTTTGGCGAAACTTTAGGGCTCTGTCAAACCTACCTTACAAAGCCGAATAAACTGATTATTTTACACACAAAAGTTTTAACTCTGATTAACAGTGTGGAAGTTTAATGGTTGCATTCTGTGGAAAGTTGGCTGAGATATGATTTTTTTAAAATGACCTTTAATTTGCTCAGCAGGAAAAGTAATTTGCATAACTAGAGCTAAACAGTAATTTCGCAAAAGTGGCACCTGACCCAGACTCAAGTCTATGATAAATCAGAAGTACTAAGACCAGTCTACTTCTTAATGCAATAAAATTTGTGGGCACTCTTCTCTGCGCGCTTTACAAAGTTCCGTTAATGTTACAAAATTCGCCATTTTGACAGCAAAGCTGGAATTGTAACGGTCCGCATTTGATCGACTAATTTCCACAGTTTTAACCTTTCTAGTTATCACCAAATGTCATTAGACCCTTTAAATGTTGGACTTTTGAAAACATGAGGAGAAAACTTGGTAATCGCTTTTTCTTGGTTTTTTTCCTTGTCGACGATCAGAACGCGACTTCATTCTGCGTATGCAAATTACCATAGATGCGTCGATCGTTTCACCAAATTGACAGGAAACATAACTGCTTATATTTCACATTTTTAAGGGAAAAAAACTCTTCTTTCCACGGAAAAATACGAACGATATATGACTTAGAATCCCCTTAGGTCTGTTTCTTTTAAGGGAAGAAGCAGTAGAAGAAGATATGTTTACCCGAATTAAAATAATTTAATTACTTTGGCCCGTCACGCATTCCCCTAGACTTGCTACAAGTCGACCTCTTGGCGAGCGGAGCGAGCCTTGTTTGGACCGCGAACGACGCGCCATATGAAATCCGACGAAGGACTTTTTTGAAAGTCTAGCATTCCCCGAGAGTGGCCGTGTATCGATCAGTTCTTTTATCTGATTATATTTTTTTTGAAGTGATAGTTATTGATAATCATACAATTTAATCACTGTTACTTCCGATTCTTTACTGGGTGGGAAATACCGTGCTGTTGTATTTACAGCTATTTCGAGAAAGGTTGTCGGGAAAAAAGTGCACGCGACAACCCCGAAAGGTAATATAGGATATGATCAATACACTGTTCCTGACAGTGTAGCTGTCGAACCTACTTTTGCTGCTTCGCTTTAGCGCTCGGAAACATATGTCCATGGCCTCTCGTGCCATTCTTTCAAAATTTCTATGAAGAGCAGAGATCTCAAAACCACCAACAATACCTTCCGGGATTGTCGCGTGCATTTTTTCCGACAACCTTTTTCGAAATAGCTGTATTCATTCTACGACCGTTTTAACTGAATCAGCCGGGCCCCACCGTGAGGATAGGGTTTAATATGACAGCCCATGGTGTAATACACGACAATTAGCTACAAAATAGTCACTTGGACACCGCCACTCTTATTCACGAGCACTAGCACAATATCTTCAGTTACAGAATTAACAATAGCTCGCAAACAGCTTCAGAAATATCGTGCGACACCACAGGACCACACCTGCAAAGTCCTTTAGGCCCCACACTTCCTAGATCCCTAGCTAACTATAGGCTACCCTACAAACTTTAGGGTGGTATTAACATAGCCTGAGTATCAGGCCTTCCTACGGGGCTAGGGAAGAGGAGATTTTCAATTTTTCCCCTTTTCCCCAGAAACGCCTGATACTCAGGCTAGTATTAACAGAGCATTGTGTTTATCGCCAATTAACAGCATTTCAGTAAAAATGAGGAATGGCATGCAGAAAAAGGCATAGTTATTGTTTACGGTCCGTCTCCTGTCAAATCCCAAAAGTTTTTGCCGGCTGTTAATCACACTGAATTAAGGATCCCTATGTTCACTCCTGAGCTGATGGAGAAAAGCACGCGCAATCTTGTATGAAAGACGAAAGTTTGTCAATTAGGTCTCCTTTTCTTTCCCTGGATTTGAATGGTATTTCAAAGTGACACAAGATTTTTTTAGCATTACCACGTTGAAATGACTACGTTGCTCTTCCTTTGACATTACACATAGGTTGAAAGCTTCTGGTTGAGGGTGTTGTGGTCTCAATTCTTCAGCGATTTCTGCAACAAGGTTTTGCCTTTCGAACTCCTCGTCTTCTTGCAACAGAAAACATCGCAAGATAAAATGTTAAATAGAGAAATTAGAATATCTCTGTACGTTAAGAAAATTTTTTGCGTGAAGAAGAAAAAAGAATGATACTTACGTGATGGAACAAAACATTGACTTATTTCGCTGGCTATCTGGAAATTTACGACATGTCTTCCTGCCACAGAAGTTCTTTTGCCAGTATGATCCAGAGTGTGACCGGGGTATTGACAAGACCTTAGGCTCGATTTCCGCCGTCTCCCCGTCCGTTGGTTTTCATTTTCCAGAACAGCGGCTGACAATCGAGCCTAACAAGACTTGGCGCCCAAAACCTGCAAAACCTGCGAAGAAGGTGTCTGTGCCTTGGGCAGATTGTCATTTTAGTGTTAGCCTGTGGCACATTGTCATTTTACCCCCCCCCCCCCCCTCCTCGTAGAAGAAGACCCTTCTCCGATTTTTCCTGAGGGGAGGGGGGTCTGTACACAGGGTATTTAATGTCTGTGCCTTGGGCAGATTGTCATTTTAGTGTTAGTCTGTGTACAAACTACCCCCCCTCCCCCTCCTCTTAGAAGGAGCTCCTTCTCCGATTTTTCCTGAGGGGAAGGGGGGTCTGTACACAGGCTATTTAGTGTCTGTGCCTTGGGCAGATTGCCATTTTAGTGTTAGCCTATGTACATACTACCCTTCCCCCCTCCTCGTAGAAGGGGCCCCTTCTCTGACTTTTCCTGAGGGGAGGGGGGTCTGTACACAGGCTATTTAGTGTCTGTGCCGTGGGCAGATTGTCATTTCAGTTCCGAATGCCCACCAAGCCTCGAATACTTACTCTCGCTAAAATGAGTTCATTTTCATTGCCTTTGCTACACTTGCTACACTTAGACAAGTGACAGCTGGCTAAGTGCGACGTAATATCATCCATGCACTCGGTGACCAACACTTTTTCCTCCACACCCCTACTGGGACCTCAGTCTGTCAACGATCTCGCGGAAGAACTGCTTGATGAAATAGGCGAAAAAGCCATTTTTCACAATTGATCTCTTCGGCGATTTCATTGACATAATAATATCTGAAATTGGCACCTGCTGCATTATAATTCAATCACATTGAAACCAAAACAAGATCATCGTTGGAATTCGGATGTTATACCCTAACAAAAACTAAAAAGATATTCCCTTTTGCGTTTATTCACTGAAAAAAGGAACTATTTTTCCCGTTTCATTCTGCTACCGATAAACGTTTTAAAGATCTTTGAATGAAACTGAAATTTACTGCTAATTTAAGATAGAAAAAGTGTAGGGCATTTTTTTTTTTTATCATAGTGCCATGTACAAAGATCTACCTTCTCCTGATAAGCAAATATCATAATAAAGCTTTCGACGTTAACGCTATTTTTTAAGGCACGCAAAAAAGAGTGCCCAAAAATTTTCGTGTGCTGACAAGACGACTTACCTTGCAAGTGAACTCTTTTATTATTATTATTATCAATAGCTATCATTTTAAAAAAGCTGATAATATTGTAGAATTGATCGACACAACGCTATTGTTCTCTAATCGACCACCCCTCCTTAAGAATGCGTGACAGGCGACAATAATTGAATTATTTTAAGCCACGCAAACATATACTCTTTAAAAAAAAGAAAAAAAACCAGACCTTAAGGGGATTTTAAGTCATGATTTGTGTTTTTCTGTGGAAAGGAGAGTTATTTTCCCCTTAGAAATGTGAAATGTAAGGATTATATTTCCTGTCAATTTGTTGAAACAACGAACTAAGGCTAATTTGCATACGAAGAAGGAAGTCACGTTCATCGTCGACAAGAAAAAGACTCAAGGAAAAGCGATTACTAAGTTTTCTCCACATGTTTGCAAACGTCCAACATTTAAAGGGTCTAATGACATTTAGTGATAACTAGAAACGTTAAAGCTGTGGAAATTAGTCGATCAAATGCGGACCCGTTACAATTCCGGCTTTGCTGTCAAAATGGCGAATTTTGTAACATTAACGGAACTTTGCACGGCACGCAAGAAGAGTGCCCACAAATTTTATTGCGTTAAGAAGTAGACTGGTCTTAGTACTTCTGATTTATCATAGACTTGAGTCTGGGTCAGGTGCCACTTTTGCGAAATTACCGTTTAGCTCTAGTTATGCAAATTACTTTTCCTGCTGAGCAAATTATAGGTCATTTTAAAAAAATCATATCTCAGCCAACTTTCCACAGAATGCAACCACTGAACCTTGAAACTATTAACCAGAGTTAAAACTTTTGTGTGTAAAATAATCAGTTTATTCTGCTAAGTAAGGTAGGTTTGACAGAGCCCTAAAGTTTCACCAAAATCGCACCACTTCCGACGGCAAACTGGCTGGTTTTTAGGTGACCGAGAAAATCTTCCTCTAAAATAGAGAAAAACTTGAGTTGGTCCAAATAAATGTGATATTTCTTCATGTGATAGGATAGTTATCTTCCACTGAAAAAATCAGGGCAATCCGTGATGGACCGAAATTTGCCTTATCGGTTCTTACGCGGACAGCCTCTTAAAAAGCAACTCGCCGAGAGAGGTAAACGGGCAGTTCATTTTCGATGTTTTTGCATAAAATGCACGTTGAATTATCGTCACGCAACCGGGGGTAACACAAACTCCAAAGAATTGTCTTGAATTCACATTTTCTTATTATTCCGCCATTGTGATGCGAACAAAAAATGCTTTTAAACTGAAGAGGAATACTAGACGAAACTGATCACGATTCGGAAAGAAGTCGGTAGAGCTGGGAAAATGGGAGGTTCAATGATGGCTTTATAAAAGATATTCATCGCAAATTGGATGAAAATAAATACCTTTCTGTTTGACTCGCATGGTGTCAAACTATGCCTCAGGACGCAAACATGCAAAGCATCTATATATATTTTGACTGTAAACTTACCAGATACCTTTCGTTGTCCCAAAAGACAAATTGCCGCGAAGAAGTATAAGATAATTTGCTTGTCATCCATGTGTTATCTTAAGCAAAAAAACAGCAGTACAAAGTACAAATTGCGCACTCTCTTTTTAAGATTTGCCCCCGATTAAGAGCGGCTGTCTGTAAATAGGGACCTTTAGCATCAGGTTTTTCATGGGAAACTGCAAACCGCAAAATGTCACGTGACCACGGCCTTGCGGTCACGTTTTCAGTTTGCAGTTCACGTTTGAACCGCAAGAAGTGCTTCCAGCGGTAAGTGATTTACGGCAAGGTTTTTTGCCGCAAAAAATTGTAGAGCCTCGCGTTTAAAGGTATGAATTAGCTTTTTATATCCGTTTGCGATGCGTTTGTTCGATTTTTGATCTCGAATCAATGAATTATTGCTGATTTTTGGGCGATTAAAACGATGCACTTCGACTTGATGAAAACAATATGGCCGCTCTAAACAATGAACGCGTAGTTCAAATCAATTTTATATTCCTTTCTGCCGTACTAACAAAGGAAAGTATTCTGTTCCAATCCAGAGTTTTTTTTTTTTTTTGTCTATCTTGTTACTGAATTCATAACTTAACTCAGTCTCTGTTTAGTTCCTATTTTTGACGTGTCACTCCGCGAATTTCATTTTATTTTGCTTATTTCTTTGAGACTGGGAAGCCCAGGCTTCATAAAGTCGGGTTTCTTCTGGGCTCCCTTTAACATTACAATTCCTATATATATCCATGTATCATATTAGATTTTGGCTAAATAAAAATGAACTGAACTGAACGCCTTGCTAAAGTTTGAAATCTTAGCAACGTGAAACTGCAAACGCGAAACTGCGTTTGCGGTTTGCGGTTTCCCTGATGCGAAAGGTCTCTAATGTAGAGAATTTTCCTTCAAAACTGAAATTTGGAAATACTTCATTTTCTGTCAGGAAAAACCCTTTGGTGAGACATTTTCGAAAATCACAATCAAAGTTTCCAAAGGATTTCCTTTTTCGAGAAAACCGCCAAAAAGTGAAATGCTGCCCCACGTCATATAGTCGCCGGTCTAAAACCTTTGAATTTTACCATTTTCAAAGCTCTCGGGAAGCAAGGCGGTTGAAAGAAACAAGTTCGTCTTTGGCAGGTAAGTAAGGCATCCCAATTAAAATACTATTTGGTAAAAATATTGCAAGATAATACATTTTTCACTCGGTTAAAAATCGCCCGAAGATTCCTATCTGCAGCACTTTCATAAGAAATGAAATTTTGGGAAACTTTAAAGGAAAAAATCACGGCTTGGTTCATGAAATTTTATGAGAATCATTATATCTCAGTAAGGCCCTACTGTTGTAGTACAACATATGAAAAATCCAGCTTGGGCAATTAAAAAGCAACTCGCCGAGAGAGGTAAACGGGCAGTTCATTTTGGATGTTTTTGCATAAAATGCACGTTGAATTATCGTCACGCAACCGGGGGTAACACAAACTCCAAAGAATTGTCTGGAATTCACATTTTTTTATTATTCCGCCATTGTGATGCAAACAAAAAATGCTTTTGAACTGAAGAGGAATACTAGACGAAACTGATCACGATTCGGAAAGAAGTCGGTAGAGCTGGGAAAATGGGAGGTTCAATGATGGCTTTATAAATGATATTCAATGATGACTTTATAAAAGATATTCATCGCAAATTGGATGAAAATAAATACCTCGCTGTTTGACTTGCATGATGTCAAACTATGCCTCAGGACGCAAACATGCAAAGCATCTATATATATTTTGACTGTAAACTTACCAGATACCTTTCGTTGTCCCAAAAGACAAATTGCCACGAAGAAATATAAGATAATTTGCTTGTCATCCATGTGTTATCTTAAGCAAGAAAACAGCAGTACAAAGTACAAATTGCGCACTCTCTTTTTAAGATTTGCCCCCGATTAAGAGCGGCTGTCTGTCAATAGGGGCCTTTAGCATCAGGTTTTTCATGGGAAACTGCAAACCGCAAAATGTCACGTGACCACGGCCTTGCGGTCACGTTTTCAGTTTGCAGTTCACGTTTGAACCGCAAGAAGTGCTTCCAGCGGTAAGTGGTTTACGGCAAGGTTTTTTGCCGCAAAAAATTGTAGAGCCTCGCGTTTAAAGGTATGAACTAGCTTTTTATATCCGTTTGCGATGCGTTTGTTCGATTTTTGATCTCGAATCAATGAATTATTGCTGATTTTTGGGCGATTAAAACGATACACTTCGACTGATGAAAACAATACGGCGACCCTAAATAATGAACGCGTAGTTCAAATCAATTTTATATTCCTTTCTGCCGTACTAACAAAGGAAAGTATTCTGTTCCAATCCAGATTTATTCTTTTTTTGTCTTTCTTGATACTGAATTCATAACTTAACTCAGTCTCTGTTTAGTTCCTATTTTTGACGTATCACTCCGCGAATTTCATTTTATTTTGCTTATTTCTTTGAAACTGGGAAGCCCAGGCTTCATAAAGTCTGGTTTCTTCTGGGCTCCCTTGCAACATTACAATTCCTACATATATCCTTGTATTGTATTATATTTTGGCTAAATAAAAATGAACTGAACTGAACTGAACTGGACGCCTTGCTAAAGTTTGAAATCTTGGCAACGTGAAACTGCAAACGCGAAACTGCGGTTTGCGGTTTGCGGTTTGCCTGATGCGAAAGGTCTCTAATATAGAGAATTTGCCTTCAAAACTGAAATTTGGAAATACTTCATTTTCTGTCACCCTTTGGTGAAACATTTTCGAAAACCACAATCAAAGTTTCCAAAGGACTTCCTTTTTCGAGAAAACTGCCAAAAAGTGAAACGCTGCCCCACGTCATATAGTCGCCGGTCTAAAACCTTTGAATTTTACCATTTTCAAAGCTCTCGGGAAGCAAGGCGGTTAAAGGAAACAAGTTCGTATTTGGCAGGTAAATAAGGCATCCCAGTTAAAATACTATTTGGTAAAAATATTGCAAGATAATACATTTTTTACTCAGTTAAAAATCGCCCGAAGATTCCTATCTGCAGCACTTTCATAAGAAATGAAATTTTGGGAAACTTTAAAGGAAAAAATCACGGCTTGGTACATGAATTTTATAAGAATCATTATACCTCAGTAAAGCCCTACTGTTGTAGTACAACAGATGAAAAATCCAGTTTGGGCAGTTAAAAAGCAACTCGCCGAGAGAGGTAAACGGGCAGTTCATTTTCGATGTTTTTGCATATAATGCACGTTGAATTATCGTCACACAACCTGGGGTAACAGAAACTCCAAAGAATTGTCTTGAATTCACATTTTTTGTGGTGATCAGGAAAACAGTTTTTACTTGCAAAATCGAAAGATTGATTGAGTCTTTTATTGCTCTGGTATGACTTGACTAGTTAGAAAGTTGGATAGTGGGTGATCGCAATGAACCAGCTCTGAAAGGTCAAACGGCCGTTTCCATAAATGTCAACAATGCTAACGAAAGTATGGAGCCTTTTATCAAAATATATATTTTTTTGAAATTAGATTTACTTGACATAAATTTTTTTATCTGAGTCGTGTGGTGTATTTTATACAAAGAAATTGCTGGAAAGAAAACGCACTAAGATTCAGACAAACATTGAATTGAAAACGGTAAATAATTAGCCTGCGAACCGCAGACCAAAGCCGAAAAAACCGGATGCTCTCGAAGGCTAGTAAACTGTTTCAACTGTTTCAACTAACTGTTTCAACTGTTTATTAATTATCACAAATTTTACAGAAAGCAATATCCACTGCCCGCAGTTAGCAGGTTAGCTAGTCGAGGCGAGCAGTGGTTACACGTATGTAATACGTATACAGATAGATCACAAGAAAGACTAGAGAAAAAGAGAAAGATTTTCATCAATAAGCACAATATAATCATTTTCTTCTGATATTTGACATAATTTTTTATTTTTGGACATTCTAAAGAAATGAACGAAAAAGTTGTTTGTTTGATGGTCAAACACTTTGATCAATATGTTGACTTGATATGTGATTTAACTTTTTTTAAAGTCTTGGTCTAAAAAAATGACAAAGGGCGCGTTAGAATAAGTTTTGTTTTTGTAAGTTTTTATATTTAGTGAATAATATATTTGGTGATTAGCCAATTATAAACCCTAAAAATTTCTGCATTAACTGTAGATTCAAAGCGATTTGAGATTTTTGTCAGCAAAAATGACAAAGTAACAAATTAGTATCATCAAATTTCAAATAAGTAGAACTTTTGTCAATTTATCAGAAATAAGTAAAACTTTTTAGATATATATATCATTAATATAAATAAGGAATAGTAAGGGTCCTAGGACCGATCCCTGTGGGACACCTGATAACGCTACTTCTTTTTTGGATATGTTTTTGGGACCAATTTGTGTTGTTTGTTGACGACCCACTACGTATGATGCAAACCAATCATTAATTATTCCACGTACTCCATAATGATCTAATTTTCTTAATAATATTGAATGATTTACTGTGTCAAAGGCTTTTTGTAAGTCAATGAACACACCACATGAGTACAACTTCTTATCCATGTTAGTTTCAATTTCATTAATTATGTCTAAAATAGCATGCTCAGTAGACCTTTTTTTCACGAAAACCATATTGTGAATCATGGAGAATATTGCACTTTAAAATAAATGACTTGAGGCGATTATACATTATCTTCTCAAAGATACGATAATTGGAGGGGTCAGACTCATCGTCACTTTTGTACATTGGAATTACTTTGCCAAGCTTTAATTTAGATGGATAGGTTCCATATCCAATTGATTTATTGATAAGCATAGATAGAGGCTGGCTTATAATATGTTTAGCCGATCTTAGAATGCGAGTGGGAAATGAATACAGCCCGTGTGCCTTGTTTAGTTGAATAGTCATTATTTCAGGATCAATTTCAGAAGGAGATACAGGGTTAAAAAAGAATGAACTAGCAAAGTCTAACATTGGTAGATAATCAGTAAATTGCTTCAGTGAGTTTGGCATTTTGGAAGCCAGGTTATGTCCTATTGAAGAAAAGTACTTATTCATTATGTCAGGAAACTCAGAGGGATTTTGTGACACTAGATTGCTAATCGGGCATTTAAGAGAGATTATATCTTTGTGAACTTTGTTTTTCCGGCCTAAAAGGCTGTTGATGCCCTCCCACATTTTTTGGTATTGGTAAAGTTTTCTTCAAAATATTTGTGAAAATACATCTTTTTGCTAATTCGCGTGAGCATCAACACTTTGTTCCGATAGAGTTTGTAGGAGGCGGTGTCGCCCGAACAATAAAGATCATTTTTTATTTTAATCGATTTCCTGATCCCCTTTGTTACCCAGGGTTTTAATAATCTCTTTTTCTTACGTTTTGATATTGGCTTAAAAGGTGCGTGCTTATTGAGAGGTTTCTTCAGTTTATTGTAAAACACAGAAAAAGATTTCTTTACATCATTCAGTCCTGAGACTGCGCCAGTTAGGTCAAGTTGGGACAGTTCGTTTAAGAATTTTGCCTCTGAATAATTAGAGAAGTCACGGACTAGCATTTTCGTACTTTGGAGGTCAAAGAGGTTATTAGAAGAGTTAAGAATACAAAATTGAGAAAAGTGATCAGTTAGATCTGAGATTATATTACCGCTTGTTATCGTATCTTCTAGATTGCTAGCAAAGATGTTGCGTGTCAGTGAGTGATTATGAGTCATGATGTACTCTTGTTGGTTTGTCAATTGTCGGGGTTAAGTTGAAGCTTTGCAAGGATAAGATAAAGTTTTGGGCGTATTTGCAATCATGAAAGCGAAGGAGATTAATATTAAAATCACCCATCAAAAAGATCTGCTTGCCAGAGGCGCTGAGTTTTTCGATTGTTCGATCAAAATATTCCTGAAAAAGCTCTGGGGAATTATGCTGCCTATAAACAACTCCGCATATTATATTTGCATGTTTGGGTAGGTGTAACTCAACCCAAAGGGCCTGAAAAGCCTCATTAGAACATTTTTCGATAATTGCGTATTTAAGATTCTCATTAATATACATGCCAACACCTCCAGCTGAAAGAGGTGTTGGCACATGTTCAAAGTTATAGTGGGATATAGTAGGATTGAAATCCAGATTATCACATGCAGATTTTATTCTAGTTTCTGTGATACCTAAAATATTGAAGCGAAAAGTAAGAGCATCTAATAGATGGGTTTGGAAATTTTCCAAATTACGTTTTAAGCTTCGGATGTTAGTGTGAAAGAATGAAAAACTAGAATTTGAATAGGAAGACATATTTAAATGTCTTTTTAATTGGGAAAAGCTGTGTGGAGAGTAATACTTACACCTAGTGGTTGGAGTATAGACGCTAAGGTCGTCAGAAAACTATTTAGAGTGAATAAATCTAGATCGTGAAAGCTTGGTAAGGGATCAAGATATTTTTTAGTGGGAAGACAAGTATCGAGACTGTTATTGAACTGACCATGAGAGGATATGCGATCGCAAGAATAATAAGGGAGCTCTCGTAGGAGAGCTTTGTTTACCTTAGTTTGATTCACAGCTTATCGTGGTCGTTAAATATAATCTCTTAACTTGTTAATCCGCGGCGGACAGCAAAATTGTCTAAGTCTCTTGCACACTTGATTGCGATCGGTCGAGAGTGCTCGTTTTCCCTCAGCCGTACTGTGGAATTTTTAGCCCAACAAAAAGCCAAGTCTAGCCTTTCCTTTACCTTCTTGGCGTCTGACAGCAGTGATTGTAGACGTGGAGAAAGGTGGTCGTAGAGGCCTACGTTCTCCATCGAGTCGCTTTCTTGAAGGGCAATGCTTGTAGGGTCTATCTTTGTCACTTCTCTACGGAGCGCCATGACTTGTTCTCGAGAAACCTGCCGAGTCAATTTGCAAACAATCGGTTTAGGGCGACCTTCAGCGGCTTGACGTGGTGTTACCCTGTGGGCTAAATCGATGTCATAGGGATGTATCTCTGCACCAATTGCATTAAAAATATTCAGACAGAGCTGTGACTTTTCAGAGGCATTTTCACGCGGCTTAATCTCCGGAACACCAACAAGCTTCCCGTGCAAAAATTTAACCGAGATCTCGCCGAAATTGGCGAAATCTCGGCGAGATTGACGAGATCTCGCCGAGATTAACGAGACCTCGCCGAGATCTCGGCGAGATTTGTATTGTCGCAGAGATCTCGGTGAGATAAACGAGAGCTCGCCGAGATCTAGGCGAGATAAGCGAGATCTCGCCGAGACGAGGTGACAGAGATCTCGTCGAGATCGCGTTAATCCCGACGAGATCTCGGCGAGATTTGTAATGTCTCTGAGATCGCGACGAGATCTCACCGAGGTGAAAGAGATCTCGTCGGGATTAACGAAATCTCGACGAGAACTCGGCGAGATTTGTAATGTCTCTGAGATCGCGGCGAGATAAACGAGATTTCGCCGAGATTTCGTCAAGAACTCGGCGAGATTTGTAATGTCTCTGAGATCGCTATTACCTTCTTAACAATCATTTGTTTCTTTCTTTATTTAGTATTCATTTACTTATGGGAGATTTTACTTACTAATCAATGTTGTCCAAAACTATCCCTTGTCCTCGTAGTCCACACCAGCATCCGTAGTTGTAAAGGCGTCGTCGGTCGTTCTCATTAAGACCTATCTCTTCTTTAACCAATTTTTGCACTAGACCGATTCGGCCAGTTTTGGGAATTGTTACAAAGAAACCTTTCGTTTCTTCTCCGGGTAAGTAACAATACAAATGATAAAAAATGGCGACAATTAAAAACAATGTTCCAGTAATTTTTCGGTATACAGGATAACCTTTTTACCTTTTGAGGACCGCTTTGGTCATTTTCATTCCATATTAAACGACGCATATTTTTCTTCCTTCGCTTTCAAGCTATTAAGCTGGTAAACAACAAATTCATTACGGATAGATCTTTCCACAGGTGCTTCATCTTGGAAATCTGACTAATCCTGTCAGACTTTTATATACATAGAGATTAATTTACCAAATTAAAAAAAAAATTCTAAACTGAAAAAAATGCTGTTCCCATGTTTTATGTCAATGTAAGTTAAAAGTTAAGATTTGTATTAGAGCGTGATTAAAGAAACTAACAAACTGATTTTTCAGTGATTGTTTTAATCTGAGAGGCTTTTCTGATTCATCATTATTTTTTGCTGGGTTGCCCGAAACAAAAAATAATGATGAATCAGAAAAGCCTCTCAGATTAAAACGATCACTGAAAAATCAGTTTGTTAGTTTCTTTAATCACAAACAGTATTCATCTCTGTCCTGACAATGCTGCCTGTGCGAAAAAGTGTTTATACATTAAGTAATTATATGGAAGGCTTTCATGGGACATGGATATTAGACGTGTTACTAACTTAACAATGCTGCCTGTGCGAAAAAGTGTTTATACATTAAGTAATTATATGGAAGGCTTTCATGGGACATGGATATTACACGTGTTACTAACTTAATTAGTCAAGAGTTGTTTTCGACTGACCGTCTTTTCAAGTTGATTGTTCTCTGAAGCAACTACCCAGTCTCAGTAAAATGATCTTCTTTCGGACAACTATCATAATATTACTGACCTGAATTTTTCGTCTTTGTGGATGAATTTTTCGCTTTCTTAACCAGAAATATTAACTTTACTCTCGCAAAGGTAAATGAAAACTGGTACTCTGATATGGTTAACGAGGTGAGTTAGCTAGAAAGTTGCAACGTTGCGTCGCAAATGTTTAGATCAAAAACCGAAAAACGGAGTGTTACAACGCAATACAGAAAAACCATTGGCCCTTTAAGCTTTACATTTCTTAGTTTCCACGAGAAAGAATGCTCCCAAGTGTATTAATTATGATGAGAATAAATTGCACTCACAAAACCGCTGTGTCAGATCTAGGGGAGGGGTTCGGGGGACCATGTTCCTGGCCTTATTTTAGACCAAACTGAGGGAAAAATATTGTCGAGAACGGCCGCCCACTTATCTTAGGGCTTGGATAAGCGGCCCCTACACTTGACGAGCTGAATCAACTACAAGTCAGATTTATCAGTGTTCCATTTTTAGAAACTGAACAACAACATAAATCCCGGTTCTCCAAATTTGAATTTGCTTTCAGTGGATGGAAAATTGAAATGTTAAAAGGAACATAATTTTGACCTCCTGGAAACAGGACTATAAGATGAAAAAAGAATAAACATGACAAGAGGATATCAATTAGCTTAACAATCAAATTATCGCAAATGAACTTACGTGCACACTGAGAATAGCCAACTTGATTTGGTTTTGTGACTTTTTTCTAGGCAAATTACTTGTTCCCCGAGCTGCTATTTTAATAATGCCAGTTGAAAGAAAGTTAACAGCCATTAATTGCCAAAAACACAAAGAATTACCCGTTCACAGATATGGCAAAAGTAAACAAATGAATGTCCAGGCATGTGGCTGAAGTTAGCTTATTTTGTGATCTGTTTTTCGGTTTTTCTCATGGTTGACTTCTGGTTCACTTTTCATTCTAGTAATCCTATTTTTTGTTTCGATTTTCCTAGAGTTTAAATATGCTCTGACGGTTTCGTACGTTTTTTCGTCTTTTTCAGGGCCTTTCTGCTCTAACTTTGTTTTTCACTTATGTTGTCCTTAGCAATTGTCGCGGTTAGTGTGACATGTAAAAAATGATAATTTATGAGGTTGTCTATGTATTAATTATTCATTGTGATTTTCAATTTCTTCGTTTTGATCGTTGAAATTTTATCACTTTTAATATTTTTTTTTTTTTTTTTGCGGTTTTCGCCTATTTCATAGTACTCTATTTATGGTTTGTGGTGTCAAATGGCCCTAAAGTCTTTTTTGATCTATCCTATTCGAAAATTCTCTCTCCCTTTTTCCCTCACCCCCTCCCTAATCATTTCCTCGTTTGACCTCTGTTTAGGTTTCGTACCGGTGGTTGTCTCTTACCTTGCGAACCACAAAAGAATAACACACCAAAAAACTGCATGCTTTGCAGGCTACCTCAAAAGGAAAATTAATACTCGATGATACATGTTCTAAAACTTTAAGCCAACGGAAAAAACTTGTTGCTGAGCAAGGGAGGTTCCTTGTTCTGATATCAAGAAATATTGAGAACGAAATTCCATGTTGTAAAAACAGAGGAACAGAAGGGTGTCACCTCAAATATCAGGAAACAAGCTGCACAATTCTTGCTTCAAATAGCTAGATAGTTTGCAAAGCCGGGTAGAGTTGTAAAACGTTGGCAAACAGTCCAGAAGTGTGTGTTTATTTGTCAGCATTCATCAAAAATCTATGCGATGTCTTGGGTATCATGGAAAAGTTGTCGTTTTTGCCTAGCTGGCGATGAAAAGGCAGACGAACGACGAAAACGCAACTTGTGTAAGGTCATTCTTTAGTACCACAGAATACCCAAGGACCACAGAACACCCAAGATTTGTAGTTGAGTTCTCCTTTTAAAAGGTTTTTTCAATCGCCTTAAAAGTGATTTTTTCCTTCCGATCGCTATAACATTTATCAAGACAAACCTATCCTACGAACTGGTCAAAAATCCGCGCTACTGCATTCACTGTTTTGACGGTATGTTAATTTTTCCAAATTAATGCGGGTAATACATATATCCAGTCAGAAGATGTGATAAATTCAAACTGTACTAGTCATGGAGGTGCGTATATTTATGTGACAACAATAAACAAAAAACTTTGAAATTGATAAA